GCAAGCTTCTTCATTTTCCCATCACAAAAATTCAAGACAGCTCTCCAGTTTAATCATGATAGTGTAATTGATGCGCCAGACTTCTATGTCCAACAGTAATGGACTCTTTTATTTTCCATCCCCACCCCAAGGTGTACATCCAGAGAACATGTTGCTCGACTTTTATTGCGAACAGACTTAACACTGTGTTGGCTAGGCTAGAAGTTATGGCCTGTCACCTGGCCTGTGACGTGACGGGCTATGATACCTACTTCACAGGCGTGTATCTCTCAACGTGCAACACAGCTGTTGGCTGCTAATTCAGGTACAAATGATCTTCGTGACGATATGATACGTATTATGACACTTGTTCGTGATACGTATTGTGGCACTTGTTCATGATACTTATCGTGACACTTGTTCATGATACGTATCGTGACACTTGTTCATGATACGTATTGTGACACTTGTTAATGATACGTATCGTGACACTTGTTCATGATATGCATCGTGACACTTGTTCATGATATGTATCGTGACACTTGTTCATGATACGTATCGTGACACTTGTTCATGATACGTATCAGGGCACTTGTTCATGATACGTATTGTTAAACTTGTTCATGATACGTATCGTGACACTTGTTCATGATACGTATCAGGGCACTTGTTCATGATACGTATTGTTAAACTTGTTCATGATATGTATTGTGGCACTTGTTCACGATACGTATCGACACTTGTTCCGCGTGACAAGCTAACGCTTTAACCACAAGGCTACCCAACCGCCCTGTCAAGCCCAAGAAACTATCAGGAGTCAAGCTGACGAATATGGACACACAAGCGACCAATGTTGCTTAATTTCGCCAGATTGTGACCTCAGTGGGGTGAGGTGAAATTGGGTTTAACGTCGCGTCCAAGATTATTGCACTTATATAGCGACGTGCATGTACGAGTATGTGTTTGTGTGGCTGCTTGTTCTAGTCCGGACTAATGCCGATTTATAGTGCTAGCTCACTGAGATACCACGCCGCAGTTTAACATGAATACCCCACTCAGACACAGTATACTGACTCCGAGCCGACCAGTCCTTGTTTTAGCCCCTTAATGCCGAGCGCCAGACAGGGTAACAACAAGTACCATCTTTTAACGTCTTTTGGTATGACGCGGCCAGGGATCGAACCCCGGACCTTCCGCTCTCCGGGCGGGCGCTCTACCACAGGACCACAGAGGCGGTCTGTGACCTCAGTGCTGCACACAGGTCCACGTACTGCACTAGTACTACCACTATTAACAGACAGGTCCTTTCCCCCATATCCTGTGGAACATGTCCCTGGCCCTTATTTAGAATCCTTACCCCCAGATCCTGTGGAACATGTCCCTGGCCCTTATTTCAAATCCTTACCCACAGATCCTGTGGAACATGTCCCTGGCCCTTATTTCAAATCCTTACCCCCAGATCCTGTAGAACATGTCCCCGGCCCTTATTTCAAATCCTTACCCACAGATCCTGTGGAACATGTCCCTGGCCCTTATTTCAAATCCTTACCCCCTATCCAGTGGAACATGTTCCTGGCCCTTATTTCAAATCCTTTCCCCCAGATCCTGTGGAACATGTCCCTGGCCCTTATTTCAAATCCTTACCCACAGATCCTGTGGAACATGTCCCTGGCCCTTATTTCAAATCCTTACCCACAGATCCTGTGGAACATGTCCCTGGCCCTTATTTCAAATCCTTAACCCCAGATCCTGTGGAACATGTCCCTGGCCCTTATTTCAAATCCTTACCCACAGATCATGTGAAACATGTTCCTGGCCCTTATTTCAAATCCTTACCCACAGATCCTGTGGAACATGTCCCTGGCCCTTATTTCAAATCCTTACCCACAGATCTGGCCCTTAATAGAGGAAATATGTTACTTGCAATGATGTAACAAACAAATCCCAAACTGATATTTTCCACATAATGTATTTTCGGTCACTGATTGTTCAAGAATAACAACAAAATTAACTCGGACAGAATAGAAGACTAGAATTCAAATGTCAGACAGAATGAGCTTGTACATCCACAATATGTCAAATGACATGTGTCAACACGAGGAAGTGGGTCATGTATCCTATTACTGAAGTATTTGTCGTGATTCAACAGCACATCGATGAATCATTTCAACCTTATATGTAATAGTGATGAACCACAGGTGTGTCTGTGAAATGATGGATACCGTATTCGACGTAATAAGAGCCCCCAATTTAGAGAGTGCCCTGGGTGCTTATTACATAGAATACGGTAGTTATTTTTACCATCTCTAAGCTGGTTGGATGGCTTAGAAGTAAGTGCTCAATTGCTGCAAACCAGTTTTTAACTGCCAATATTGGTCCAATTTGTGAAACCCATTTTGAGTCAAACATTTGGAAAAATATTTGTGTGATACTGAAATATGAAGCCATGATTCAACAGCCTAGGTCTTCTCCCAACTCTCGCACTTGTGTCACACCTCTGTGGTCTACTGGATACAGTGTCTGTCCGGAGAGCTTAGGACGGTGGTTCGATCCCTGACAAGGTCATCCCAAAGGAATTAAAAGTTAGTACTTGTTGTTTTTCTGCCTTGTGCTTGGCATTCAGGGGATAAAACAAGGAATGGCTTGGAAACAGTATACTGTGTCTGGGATTTTAAGGAAAAAAATAATTGTCTTAAAGACAAAAAAAGAAACTGCCTGCTACAAAAATTAGATTGTCTCAAGGTGTTTGGTTTTTTTGCATTAAAAAATTCAAGCTCATAGATTTGAATAAAAAGTTTATGTTTTGTAGCTGTAGCTGAAAAAATATCTAATCTCGATACAAAATCCCAACCCCCTTACTAGTAAAAAAACTTCTTCATGGGACCTCCCCAGGCCCATGCTGTCACCAAGTCACCAGAAAATGTAGGATGGGCTCAGTGTGTCAGTGTGTACCCCTGCTACGCGGGAAGCAAATTCTGCATAATGGGATGAAGATAACAAAACATCTCCCCTTGTGTTTCTCTCACAATCTCAGGTTGATGTTTGTTAGGCTCATAGCAAGCTGATCTCCATTTTCTGCTCTAATAGTCAAGAGATCATGGGTCTCGAGGTACATGAGGCACACAAGTACTTGACAACAGATACATGAGAGATACCCTTGTAATTTGTTATCAGGACAGGTACAAAGGGCCTTGTGTCTCAGAGGAGACTGTTAGAGCTACCCTGACTAAGCGGGCTGGTGTCTTAGATATGTAAAATAAGAACCTGATATTGATCCTTTGTACAGGAAGTCATAAGTAATCTTTGTCATTGTAAAAGTACAATAAATCGATGCAACCATGTTTTTTTATATATTTGGTATTCAGATTAGTTTTCGAAACTTTAGAGACAGTGGTTGAAATTGAAATAAAAAATTTAAAAATTAAATATTGTGACCTCCGAATAGTATCATCGGTTGGATGAAATGTTAAAAAAATGTTTATTTGGCCTCCCCTATTTGTCTGCTTTTACTAAAAGGCAAAGTCCACAAGATCACACATCCTTAAGGTCAGGTTCACCAGATGAGATGTGTGACACACATCCTGAAGATCAGATCCACGAGACCAGATGCGATGTGTTCTGGTGTGTGACACATTCTGTAGAACAGGTGCACTGGACCAGGTGCGATGTGTTCTGATGTGTGACACATTCTGTAGAACAGGTCCACTGGACCAGATGCGATGTGTTCTGATGTGTGACACATTCTGTAGAACAGGTCCACTGGACCAGATGCAATGTGTTCTGGTGTGTGACACACATCCTGAAGAACAGGTCCAGGAGACCAGATGCAATGTGTTCTGGTGTGTGACACACATCCTGAAGAACAGGTCCCCGAGACCAGATGCGATGTGTTCTGGTGTGTGACACACATCCTGAAGACCAGATCCACTGGATCAGATGCAATGTGTTCTGGTGTGTGACACACATCCTGAAGAACAGGTCCAGGAGACCAGATGCGATGTGTTCTGGTGTGTGACACACATCCTGAAGAACAGGTCCACAAGACCAGATGCGATGTGTTCTGGTGTGTGACACACATCCTGAAGACCAGATCCACTGGACCAGATGCAATGTGTTCTGGTGTGTGACACACATCCTGAAGAACAGGTCCAGGAGACCAGATGTGATGTGTTCTGGTGTGTGACACACATCCTGAAGACCAGATCCACTGGACCAGAGGCAATGTGTTCTGGTGTGTGACACACATCCTGAAGACCAGATCCACTGGACCAGAGGCAATGTGTTCTGGTGTGTGACACACATCCTGAAGAGCAGGTCCCCGAGACCATATGGGATGTGATCTGGTGTGTGACACACATCCTGAAGAACAGGTCCCCGAGACCAGATGCAATGTGTTCTGGTGTGTGACACACATCCTGAAGAACAGGTCCCCGAGACCAGATGCGATGTGTTCTGGTGTGTGACACACATCCTGAAGACCAGGTCCACAAGACCAGATGCAATGTGTTCTGGTGTGTGACACACATCCTGAAGACCAGATCCACTGGATCAGATGCAATGTGTTCTGGTGTGTGACACACATCCTGAAGAACAGGTCTCGAGACCAGATGCGATGTGTTCTGGTGTGTGACACACATCCTGAAGACCAGATCCACTGGATCAGATGCAATGTGTTCTGGTGTGTGACACACATCCTGAAGAACAGGTCTCCGAGACCAGATGGGATGAGGAAATGTTACATAAAATGGAGGGGCAGCAAAATATGATACAATCCTAACGAAGGTAATTAGGACAGATCCCCCACCCCCACCCCCACCCCCACCCCCACCCCCACCCCCACCTCTGCTCAGCCATTATCATACAGTCCCTTAGTATGAACACCAGTTAAGATACCATAACTGCTAAGGTCATCTAAAAGTGGACCATCACTCTGCCTTTCACTGTCAATAGCTCCAGCTCTGCCCCTACGTCATGCAACACATCACACACACACACAAGGCCACAGACTCTGTTTAGCTCACCTGGCGTCCCACTCTCCTGTCGCCTGTTGAGTGCAGAGACCAGGTTCCGGTGCTGTGCTGCCAAGGAGGACTCACTGTTGGCTGCACCTACAAAATGATACCTGCATTGTAGATACTAGCTGTACAAAACTACTCTTACTTTCGTATTTCATATTTTATATTTATTAGCACAGGCATACTGTTCCAGTAGAATACAACTTACCGTATTCGATGTAATAAGCGCCCAGGGCGCTCTCAAACTTAGAAATAGGGGGCTCTCATTAGAATATTATTTTGAAAAATTTACATTTGAAAGATCGTAAATTTCACGGTTTATGCTGACAGCCTGAAATGTTTATATACGACAGATATATTTTTCAATAATTTAATTGCCCATAGTTAAGGGTGCATATTATACACTAATAAATAAGTACACTGATCAATCGCAAGGGGTGCTAATTGGGATTGTTCACTAGCCTATATATTAGCAAATATCGCCATGGGCACTTATTAGAGCGTGGCACATATTACGTCGAATACGGTAATGGTCATGCCTAAATGAGGGTCATGGGGATGTCACAATACTACACCATACCATTTATCCTAAAACCGACCCAAAGCCTTTGATGTCACATTGCGTTCTTGCATTATATACCGTAGAGACGGGTAACTAACCCAGTCCAATTTCATTGTAAACTGTTGGGCAAAAGAAAGTATACACCATCTTCCTGAGGCAAGGGAGTTAACTGACTTTAAAAGTCCAGTTTCCACCCTTGCCGAACTAGGCTGGAATTACTGGGCTCGATCGTAGCGCCACCAGTGGCGATTACCAGTTATGTCCCTTCTAAGCCTCTCCTATGGACAATCAGACATTATCAAACATTACAAGGCTGAAAACACTGCAAACTTTGGGTCCAAAACCAAACTGTGACACCAGCATCAAATACACCAGCATCAAATAACCATTTCATTTTCAGCCACCATCAAACATGGCATTATATTGTCTTTTGATTTGCAGTTTCTTTTTATCATTTGCTTATTCTTCAATACATAAAGGCAGGAGTGAATAAAATTCTTTATGATTAAATGATTAAATTTATGACTCAATTGTGATTATTATCATATTTTCTTGATAGGGTTATTGTTTTTGTGGGGAATGCTATCCTTTCATTTCAGGTAAAGTCTTTTTTTTCGTAAAATATCACTCCGAGGTATTGAATGTGTTCAAAGGTTGAAGTTGAAGGACATATGGTTAGACACAAATTTGAAAGATTTTGATTTTGCACCTGGTGCTCGAGACATAAATATCAGGTTGCGTTTTTCAATAATAGGTTGCACTGGTGCCTGTTTTATATAGCTTAGTCGAGCCGTGAAACAGCTTGTGAATTATGAAGATGAAGATGGACCACTGATCTCAATTAAAGTGTGATGTCAGAGGACAATATTACATTAATGTATTATCATGTCATTGTTATGGTAACAAGCATTTGAATAAAGTACCCACATTTGGTAACAAAGTTTCTGAGATATAAGAGTATAAATATATTCCTACCATCATTAATTTATGTATTAATTGGGCGGATGGTTTTATAGATAATCACCAACCAAAGACACGCACGCACGCACGCACGCACGCACGCATGCACGCACGCATTGATTTATGCATTACTTGGGTGGATGGTTTTATAGATAAATTATACATACTATTCTAAAGTAATAAAATCCTTTTAAGTTGTGTGGACAAAACATAATATCAACCAATGATCAATATTTCACCATTAATAATTTTTGAAACCTTGATTTTGTTTTTAAAGTTTGACTGGAAGCTGAACAAATTGTGGAGTGGTCATTTAAAATGACAGTTGGAATCACAATATCTTAACCTCAATAAGGGCCAAGCTTGCCACACACACCAGCCCTGAAACTGTCTCTCGCCTTTCATCCCAGCTATCCTTCATGGTTTTCATTTGTTAGAGTTCATTAGTCAGACTTGTGTCTAACGACCACCATCAAGACAACAACATGATCCAAGAATTGGGGATGAATGAAAAATACATGCACATTTCAGATTACCAATATTCTCATATTTCAAAACATCTAATGAGTACTTATTGATTAACTCTATCATAACAGTAGGTTGTCAATCACTATATCATAAACACCACACCTTTCAGTTTCAGGAGGCAATCCGACCCCATGGCCATATTATTCCAATCTGCTCATTGTTAAACAAAATGGCTTCCTCTAATGCCTACAACAGGCTAGTTGTCTGACAGATCCTGAATTTATTACCCTTTGGCAAATACTCCCTATCCAAATGGCCTGCTACTGAGCATAACTAACCGAGAAAGGCTTGTCATTATTGCTAATCCTCCCAATATCAGATAAAACTGTTTTCGGATCAAATTCAGGCTGAATTGAGTCTTGGGGAGATTGAAATACCATGTCCAGTCTGAGGTCCTCTGTTTGCCTGCTGAACCAGTTACCCCATAAAACATCTCTGAAATACACACTTTGCAAACCGGCAGTTGGCATCGAAAAATGTTGCGTTTTTAGTCCACATTAACTTAATGTTATACATGACGATGCGTTCGATCATTATTTTCACGTACAATAAAATCTGACTGGATATTTTTTGTTCGGAAAGGTCATTGTTGACAAGACTTTAAAAACAGACAGACAAAAAATGCTTCGAAAATGAGAGAAATATGAGGCGTAATGTGACAGCACTGGCAAATAATGCTTAATAAATCTTTATTGTTAATCCCGATTCAACAAGTAACATCTATTATCACACGATTAATCCTGACTCTTGACTTCAGCTGTTTAAAGCATCTCTCCATTGTTTATTGGTGTTCGGATCGAGTTCACTTTGATAGGCAATTTGTGGAGAAGTATTTTTTAGGTTTTTATTTTGTTAAACATGTTGATTTGGATGACAATTGCTGCATCCTCAGGAAAAGTGTTGGAAATCGTGTCTAAGACAGTTGTGGATGAAGGAAGTTGGGTGGAAGAGTCCAGATTTCAGTGTCGTATTTATTGACATATCACGATTGTTTTGTAAGCTTCGCGTGATCACTTGGTATTTCAATTTTTCGAATGACATGAAAAATGTTGTGATTTCGATGAACAACTCAACATTGCTATTTTCATTCTTATCACACAATTTTATTTGTCTTAAAATAAAATTTATTTTTTACAAATGGTGTGGGGTTATATTTTGTATATCATGCCTCTCCTTTGGTCTGGGTTCATCATGTGCACTAGTATCTATCAGCCTCTAAGTACGTATGGGAAAACATGTTAGTCAGGACAGTTGCCTTTACTACTCACAGAAGCAAATATTATTAATATTGAACAAAAACAGTTAGGGATCATGAATATTTTTGGGGATACTACATATTTCCAAAAATATTCATGACCCTAACCTTTTTTTGTTTAGTATATATCATGACAGTTGTCTCTAATATATATCATATATATCATGACAGTTGTTTCTAATATATACCATGTATATCATGACAGTTGTTCCTTATATATTCCATGTATATCATGACAGTTGTTCCTTATATATTCCATGTATATCATGACAGTTGTTCCTTATATATTCCATGTATATTATGACAGTTGTTCCTTATATATTCCATGTATATCATGAGTTTTTCCTTATATATTCCATGTATATTATGACAGTTGTTCCTTATATATTCCATGTATATTATGACAGTTGTTCCTTATATATTCCATGTATATTATGACAGTTGTTCCTTATATATTCCATGTATATTATGAGAGTTGTTCCTTATATATTCCATGTATATTATGACAGTTGTTCTTTATATATTCCATGTATATTATGACAGTTTTTCCTTATATATTCCATGTATATCATGACAGTTGTTCCTTATATATTCCATGTATATTATGAGAGTTGTTCTTTATATATTCCATGTATATTATGACAGTTGTTTTTTATATATTCCATGTATATTATGACAGTTGTTCCTTATATATTCCATGTATATCATGACAGTTGTTCCTTATATATTCCATGTATGTTATGACAGTTGCTGCTACCAGCATAGTGCTGTATCATATTGATAGTTACCATGCATAAATACCACAACCCAGGTGGTAAAATAACAACGCATGTATTTGAAGTCTTGTTTCATTTCCTGGAAATATGAAGGCAATGTTCTATCGAAAAAGTAGAAAAATAAGGATTCCAATTAACCTGACAACATTTTCATTATTTCAAAATACACAAAACTAGAAAAAATAATTAATAAATCACTGGTAAATATTATTGATATCAATTCGAGTAACTCATCTTAGAATTATATAATTGCATTGTTTATTTGATACTACAACAGTCATAAATATTTTGGTTCTTTTAGACAAGGTATTTCTTACTCATGAACAATATAACTTATGAAACAAAAAAGAGGGACAGAAAATGAGCTTCATACTGTAACAGAACCTTGTAACGCATAATACAAGGGTAGTTTAATTTCATGCATGATGAAAGTGCTGAAAATATTAAAAATATCAATAAGGGAAGAATAAGATACAAGAATATATCATCACGTATTAGGTATCCAACGTAATTAGGCTTTTTGTATCAGATTAATGTGCAACTGTAATTAATTCTAAGGACAAATTTTGCAAATTGATCATCTGCAAGACAGTATTGTTTGTAATTTGAATGTGATTAATTGGTGACTGAGATTGAAAAGTGAGACAATATCATCATTTAACATTCATCTGCTATACTTATAAACGTTACAAAATATTCCACAGGGAAACTTTATTTTCTGCAATGTGAATTGAGAGATATACACACGATTAGATGTGTTCCTCAAAGTTCATATCACTAATTACAGTAAATCGTTTTCAAAGCTAGTTATTTTGAGAGATATTGTGTTTTTTTAAGTAATGTTCATTTTTTTCATTAATAGTTTGTATATTGAAGACCATTATGGCATATGCTATTGTGTTACTGCATCTTTCACTTCAATACCAAATTTCCAAAATGAGGTGGTCAAAAAGTGAAGCTGAATTGTTTGAGAAAGCTAACATCTGATAGGCTCCAAAACACACAATTCCTT